TACTCTCTTCCATCCATTTTATGTTTTGCATGTTATTCATTTTTTGAAATATTTCAAAATATTTGCAAGATTTTCTAATTTCCAAATATGTAAACACATTACTTTTCCTGTTAAAATATTTATAATCCTTATTGGAGACTTTATTAACACATGCATATTAGCGAGGGTAAAAAATAAATAAATAACTTTCGTTGACTAAATTTTTAATTTGCACTAGTTGTCAAAACTATTCCAAATAAAATGAGTTGAGGTGAGGAGTATTTTATGAAAAAATATTTATTGTAGAAGACTATCTAAATGCGAGTAACACTGGAAAAAAACATCATTAGTACTCCTTTAAATATCTCAAAAACAACTTATGAGTTTTTGAGACAAAATAATCACTTAAATAATAACTTATTATTTTTCGATAGAATGAGTAGATACAATAACTACCTTACAAGTTTGTTGATTTTGAGATAAAGTGACATTGATTTTTATTAAATTAAAGAAAATTATTTATTTTTTTTATCTTTGTGCAAATTTTAAGTTACTGTATATTTTAAAACAGATAAAAGTAACAAAAATTAAATTGCGACTATTACCAATTAAGATTTAACTTAATAAATTGGTTGTCTCTTATTTGTTTATTAGGCGTTTGCTTCAGTCATGTAGCTGATAATCCAATAGTTAATTCTATAATTCGTTAGGTGTTCGTAAACTTTTTAATCGGTTTATAGCCGATAGAAGCTCCAAAACAATAAAAGCATTTACCGTTTACGGGCCGGTTGTCCGATTGCCTCTCAAATGTCAATGATATATAATCCATCCGTATAGTTTCACACATTCATAAGAATCCAAAACACTCTCCCTCTGCAATGCCTTAAACAAATTACTAACTAAACAGAAGCTACTTTCTTGAAATTTCACATCACCCCTCAACCAATCAACTCAACAGCCAAATCCAATTTATTTTTCACTGCATCACCAAAACATCACCTAAAAGTTTTGATTAGGTTTGGCAATCAGTCTTTAATCACACCATTATTACATATTATTACAGCCAAATTCAAGTAACACATTTACTTAAAAAAACCCAAATATTTCTGCATTTACATAATTTCTTACCTCAAGCCCCAACTGCCTCACTCTTCAACAAGCTTTCATTTTTAGCTCTGACAAGTTGATTTTCTCCGGCAAATTTACAGTCACTTGTCCTTCCACACCTCTCTTTCAGTACCATTTTCCGGGCCCTGGAAGCACTAGAACTGTTCCTTCATCACCAAAACCTTCTTTATGGAATAATATGCAAAAATAGGGCTATTTCCTTTCAATCTCAGCCGTAAATATTTCTTCTTCCAATTCACAAATGTCAAATTAGAACCCCATATGCTATTGTATAGTCATGGGAAGTTTACCATCCTCACTCTTCCATTGATTTCTTCAATTAAAGCTATTCTCCTCTTCCTTCTTCTCTGCAATGAATTTTGCTTAAATTCCCATGAACATTCATCATTTTCGCTGACAGAGAAAATCTGCTCTTACAATGCTAAACTCCATCTGTTGCTTGGAATTTCTCTTTCCACTATTGCGGAGTTTCTCGCGCAGGATTGTCACAATTCTCGGCCCTGATCCCCCTAACCCTTGATTAAAAGATTGTCCATATTATTCGGGTAAATGAGTTCGAATTTCGAAAAATTGACCTGGCTGAAAGCTACATCAGAATGCTTAGATTTCAATGTTTGTCTAGGGTGTTTTGCTCGTCAAATGGAAAACATTGAGTTTCCATTTTGATAGTATCGGTAGTACCCAGCAGTCACCAAACTGGGGTCAAACCCGTTTTATAGAAAAAAGGTTCCTGAGAGGTGAAGGGTGTCCGGGTCTTGGTCTTTGGCACGTGGAGTGCGAAATTGGAGAGCTGGTGAGACCTCTCATAAATTGGGCCCCACATATTGATGAAATTTGAAGCTGAGAATGGAAGCCCCTAGTAATGTGAGCCCAAGCTGAGCCCCACTGACATGCCTCCACATTGAACAAAGTTTAATAGTTGATCAAATAAACAAATTAATTCTTGTAAATTAAATAAACAAATAGATTAGTTAATTAAAAATATTACTATAACTATTTATAACATATAATAATTCTAGAAAATGGAGTGGGAAAACAAAACAACAAATAGTGCCAAGGAGATTGAGCATGTGTGGCCAAAAAGCTAAATTTATATTAAATAGCTAGTTTTTAGAGAACAATTTTTTGGTTTAAAAAAGTATATTAATAAGAAATAAATAGCTTACCTTCTTTTGTAAGCTTTGTGTCCAAATTTATTCAAAAAACACAAACCCTAAAATGGCAGTGTAGAGATTATTCCTTTAAATTTTCAAAACATATGGCTAACATTTTTCATTCTAATTTTTTATTAAATATAAGTTAATGTTTGATTGAAGGTTAAATTAAAGATTAAGAATGACGTAACGTCATTAGAAAATATATAAAAAACACTTAATTTATTGCTATTTAGCAATTTTTATTCGTAAAAAGTAAATAATCTAACTTCCTTTGTAAATAGGAAGGGAAATTTTATAGGAAATGATTATAAAAATTTAGCCACTTTCTATAATTACAGTGACCAGTGAATTTATCAATTTATTTATATTATATTTTTAAAATTGATTAACGAATTATTTCCAAAAAGTTAATTCGCTATACTAAACAATCTATACTTTAGTAAAAATAATTTCGGAAGATACATTATGTGAAATCTACTTCCTGCTAAATAGTCATTCAAAACAAATTCAAGCCAAACAGTACTTTCCAGCACTTTATCAAAAATATTATAACCTCCCTCTCTCTCTTTTTTTGGTCTTTTACAATAAATTGTTATGGTTCCCATAAAAAGGTCAGCTACACCTAACGTAAGGGCGATTACAATTTTATTCATTATTATATTATTTTAGAAACCACGTGTAGATTTAAAAATATTTCCAAAAAGAAAAAATACCACCAAATTTTCAAATTAAATATGATTTAGACCTCGCAAATTCATTGATAAAATGAAAAATATTATAGACTAACCCGGTAGAGCAGATTTCCACAACAACACGGAAAAATCAATCAACACACCGAAAAAACAATTATAACAAGTAAGATGGAAACAAAAAAAAAATTTCGTAAACTGCACACGGGACATAATGTTTTTGGCACCTTAACGTGTCAGCCTCAGAGTCAAAATGGGGATAGTTACAATTATGAAAATATGTTCTTTACCCTACACAATATAAACGAATTATAATTAAATTTAATATGAATTTGTTATCATAAATAAGTGATTCATACTATAATTTACGAATTTGTTTAAAATAAATCATATACACATGAAGCGCAGCCATAACCTGGCCTATCCATTTAAGTAAGATAAAGATGCATCATTTCATATTAATATTAGTATAGTATATACTATATACTTTATATCAAGCCGGATAACACACATATAATAATGTCATATTTTCTAACTTGTTATGCATTTAACAACTTGATCGGATTTTTTTTTGTCCACATATATCTTTTTTAATTATTATTCAACCTCAATGTATAAATGTTATATGCGTCATTCGTTATCTTACTTGTCTTAAAATTTTTCATCATCGCTATTCTAGACTGAAATGCATTAGATTAAGACGCGTTCTTTCATACAAAGAAATCTTTTTGAGATCAAGAATCGTTAAAACGTTATTTTCTATCCTTATAGCTATTAGGTAATCCAAATATTGTAAAATAATTTTTAAAATAAAAAATAACCTTTAAATAAAATTAATTCATCTAAAATTTCTTACGTTTTTTACACTTTTCATGGAAAAACTATCCGAATGGCTTAAGAGGCTAATGGGTAAAACCAAACTAACGATTTACCATTTTATTATTCATATTCCAAATGTGTCCTAGACCACGCAAAAATCTCTTTCTACGACTCCAAAATGTGTCCTATCGCATAGTTAGAATCGGATTCGACAGCGCAGATCATTTTTTGGACACCCCGGGTCACTTGCCAGGCTAAATCCATTTGTATGAAGGAAATCTGGACCAATTCTGAACCGGGAACTGGACCGCCTTAAGAGAGTAAGAACATAGTCCAGCCATCTAGAGCTGCCAAGCTCCTCTACCTATAGCGCCATAGTGTCATTTCAAGCCAGTACGGTTTATTAATTTTTAAGCTGGGGTTCAAACTCTAAACTCCTTGTAGTTCGTATTCTGCCACTACAAGGAAGGGAGACAGCTTTCCACATTATTGGATCAAATTAGAGGATTCCATAAATGGCTGGATTTTTAAAAATTTTTTTCATTAATTATTTTTAATCTTGATTCAAAATTAATTTTTAAAATCAATTTAAAAGATGTTAAAATCAAATTTAAACATTTTTTGATAACAAATACGAAAAAATTATAGTTTTCTACTTTTTTAAATTCATAAAAAATAAAACAAAAGAAAAAAACCTTAAATTCCAATATCAAAAGATAGAAAAAATCAAAATAAAAATGTTTTCAATTCTTAAAAAATTTTGTAGTTCTCTTTTCAAATATTTTACTTATTTTTAAAGTTTAAAAAACTTGATCTTTTTATTTTTTTTTCTTAACGAAACACGAGGTTAAAATATTTTAAATTCAAAGCTTATGTTTCTAAATTTGGTCTAAAAATAATTTTTAAAAACAATTAAATATTTTAATAAGCTGGATTTAGTTCCAAATGCATTTCTTTAACCTTCGACATTTTAAATTAAATTCATGATGCTGAAAGAAAACAAATTTACAGATTAAATTATACATCTAACTACTAAAACTTTTTCTTGACACAATTAATTTTTTGTCTTTTCCTTTTTTCCTTTTTTTTTGGTTTTTTTTTTTTTTTTTTTTTTTTTTTTTTTTGTCTAACGAACAAAGTTTGATCATTAAAACCTCTCAGCAGTTGATCCCCTTTATTTCGTAATATGTAATTTAGCAATTAATTAATTTAATTTAAATTTAATTACCTGTATATAAACCAGAGGAGAGAATCCTAAATCAGGACCGAGAACTTGATCGTGAACGAGAAATCTGCTGTGATCTTCATGATTTTTCGCAATTGCCGTCATCAATTCCTCTATAGTTTTGTCACAATAAGCTTCAACAATACGTACACCGCCATCGTTACACTTGATGAAAGGTCGTCCGCCGTTTTCAGATCTTCGTATTCTCCCTGAAACGGTGTAGTATTGAGCAAGCCACGGAAACATTGGCTTCTTCAACTCATAAATCGTGAGACCTTGCACTGCTTCGGCTGTGAAAAAGTACACACCTCTAATGTAGTGGAGCTTCAAGGCCAAATCTATATTTGTTAGTTTATGGTCTTCCTTGTCGCTGGTTACCTCCGCCGGAACGACGGAGGAGAGCCGAACACCGGAGAGTGAAGCGGTGGAGAGAGTTGGTGTTATCATGGTTCTTAAGCAGAAGAGAAAAAGACGAGAATATAATAGAAATAAGAGTTTTCTGTATGAACGATTACCCTGACTAATTAGCAGTTTCTCTGATATTTATAGGCTAACCCAATGGGTTATTGCAGTTCATAAGAACCATATGTTTTCTTATCTCGCCTTTTTTTTTTTTTTTCAATACTCTATTTCACCAATAAATAATAAAATACCTATTGCATTAATTGTTGATAATTGACATATTGTATAAATTAAAATTGAATTATGCAATTGGTAAACATAAATTTATTTTGAATATTTTTAATGTATTTTTTGTTCTCATACATTAATATCAAATATTCAAATATTTTTATATTATATTTGATATAAATGAATTTAAAATATAAAATTTATTTACAATTGAACTCTAGATAGTAAATAAATTTTTGATATTTAGAATAAATTTAAATTTTAAATTTTATTTACTTTATTTTCTAAAATATCCTTGGTATAATAATTTTAGGAGATTATAAGGATGAATAATTTTATCGTAAAATTTCGAGTTGTTTAAATCTAAAATTCATTTGAAAAATTCATTTTTTTTGGTAAAATTTAATTTATAACTATTCAGTTATATTCACTTTCATATAATTAAATTCTTAGAATTTAATCTTCATTCTTTCATATAAACACAGAAATTTAAATTTATAAATTAATTCCATAATTTTAATGAATTCATTTATTCCAAACAATCAATTAATGTAAAATTCTTTTTAACCACTTATTTTAACAAAAATAATAGAAGAAATTTTTTTTCAAGTATTCACTTACATAATCAATAATTCATTATTAGCTTTCTTGTTCAACAATTTTAAGTACATTCTTCTATACAGACTTCATGCATTTAGAAATAACATTGTGTTCCTGAATATTTTATTTACAAGTATTAAATTATATTTATTTATTTATATATATTTTGCATCATAAGTTCAGTCTATGTATACATGCATGCATCACTATCTCAGTAATTTTAGCCTACTGCGGTTGGTTGTATTTATTAGTCAACCAATCCAAACAAAAGCTAAGCTTTTATTAAAAAAGTATAAAAAAAACAAAATTTATATGTAAAATACTTATTTTTTTATTATCTTATCATAAAAAATGGACTACATATCTAAAATAATAAGTTTCGTGCTCTAATTAACTTCATCAACTCTATTAGCTAGCGTTTATTTTTTTTTTTATCTTATTATAAGAAATGGACAGTAAATTTTGTACCCTTGTTAATTTCGCTATCTCTATATTTATTGAAGAAGAAAACAGAACTTTAAACTCAAATTCACTGCTAAAATTATATAATTTGATCGGCAATTTTTTGTTTTTAGAACGAAATTGGTAATTTTAACTCTCAATGGGTGAAATGAGATAATAGAGATCTCTTCTCGTTTAACTAGAGGTTTCGAATTCAAACTCTAGATATGGAGTCCCTTTAAATATACGGGAGTAAGCGCTTTGCCACTTTATGAAGTTATATGATAAAAATCCGAATTAGTCGAGTCAACGAGTTTCGGACTGTAAAATGATTAAAATATAAAATTAGTATTTTTAATTCTCTAGATCTTGGCCAGCCGATCACGTGATTGTTAAACTTTATTTGGGTATTTAGTAATTACAACCAACACAGACTTTGCATGGGATGCACACTTTTACAATGTCTCCAAAATGCATGTAGGGAGGTGGATGTATATACGATTATAAAAATTCATACTCTTTTTGTGATCACTTGGTCAGTTATGTAATTTCCTTTTTCTGAAAAACAAAGGAAAATGACAATTCATTAATAATATTAAATTTGAAAGCATAAAATAAAAAATAATTTGAATGAGTCAATTTATGAGAAGTAGCTCAAAGTCATTAATAAGAGGGATGACTATAAAAACGAGGATAGTTTTGTATCCAAATGATACGAGAACATTCCGGAATTTATTTTTTTTTTTACCAGGAGGCCTAATTCATCTCGACTCTTCTAATGTAATGATTTTTAATTTTTTTAGTAAAGCGTGCTTTTCAAGTATTGAATTTATATTTTTTTTCAGTAATTAAAGTCAGATATCCTTATCCATCTCAATTATCATTTTATTAGTGAATAATCTTTTTTATATATAAAAAGGTGACAGGCTCATTTATATGATTAGGACACTACACTAAACTTTTCCATCTTTGAAGATAAGAATTTTCTACCTTCTTTACTATAAATGCTGAGTTGAATGGCATAAATGTCAATTTTGGAACATATTGTGCATTGAACTGATATTTTCTAATTGGGAAATATTAAACTGGAAGTTTATTTATGGATCAAATCAATAAAAATATATATTTTTTAAAAATTATTTATATTTCATAATTTTTTCTCCAATATATGGTTAGAAGTATTATTATTTTAACAAAAAAATTTATTTTTTATTGATTTGGTCTTTAAATAAAACTATAAATTTAGTCCAGACAAGTCAATCCTTGATTGCTTCTTTATCATATGCTTTGTTTTAGACATAGAAAGCTAACGCTCAACTAAATCGGTTCCACCACTTGCATTGATTTTTAAGATAAATACTTAATTACTAAATTTTATTATAATTATACACGAAATTTAAATTAGGGTTTCAAAAGATAATAAATTAAAAATAATAAAATGAGGACTCACCCCGGCAGTTATAGTTGGAACTAATCCTGGAGCTAATTAAAACAGCAAGCGCGCCCCCCCCCTTCTCTCTCTCTCTCTCCTTCAACAAACCCTTCTTTGGCTCTTTCTACTGACAAAACTTTTAAATACAAAGCAAACAAAGAACAAGCTACAAACAAAAAAAAAAAAAAAAAAAAAAAAAAAAAAAGGAACATCCGAGGAAGGCTCTGGATTTTAGGAAAGCAGAAAGAGCCCATTCAAAAAAAAAAAAAAAAAAAAAAGGAACATCCGAAGGAAGGCTCTGGATTTTAGGAAAGCAGAAAGAGCCCATTAATGCAACAATAACATAAAATCCAAACAAAAAATAAAATAAAATCCCTCTCAACGAACAATATGGAGAAAGAATTTCAAGAAAAAAAGAAGGGATCACATTTGAGTTACTGATCATTTCAACCCATCTTGTTAAAAAATCAAAATTATCAATTGCTAATAGTTCAGTTTGATTATAATAATCAAATATCGAATTGACATCCAATGTACAAGAACACATTAATTCTCTAGGATAAATAAATAAATAAATAAATAAAGAGTCTCACACAACACATTTCGAAAGAAAAATAAAAATGAGAATCCGAATGATAAAAACATGAAAACGATTTTACATTACATTTTAAAAATCGAAAACAAAAAATGTAAAAAAAAACAAAGAAAAAAATTTGATGGTTGCGTTTATTGTTGTTTTTTTGGAATTTTTAGGGGTGAAATAAAATAACGGAGAAAAGCATTGGGGAATAATATTATTTACTTTTTTTTTTGTTATTTTCATTTTATGTTTGGATTGGGGAAAAAAAAAAAGAAAGAAAGGAAATGTCATTATTTCAAATTTATTATTTTTCCTTTATTTAAACAATAACTGTTAGGCGTCGATTGACCCAAAAAGGGAACAAGTGTATATGGAGGAAGCAACGGGTCTAGCTGACTAGCTCGCGCAGAGCAAGTGTCTGTTTTGTAAATGTAGTTGTATTAGTAGCTGTTAATTGTTTTAATAGTGTTTAATTATTAAATATTAACTATTAATGGTAAACGATTATATAATGGTTTAGAATAAAAGTGTTTGGTACAAAACAATATTTGATTAGCTGTTTAATATAAAATAATAAAAAATAATATGAAAAAGAGGAACAATGTAAAGATAAGTGATGAGAATCGGTGTCATAAAAAAATTATAAAACATTAAACGTTAATGAAAATAACGTTTCATAAAATGATATCTTGAACACCAAACCCTAGGATAGATATTGTGTTACCGAATATTATAATTAATCGAGATAGCATGAAACTCCCTATCAAAAAATTAAATACAATGATCGAAATAGACAAGAATCAGTAAAGATGGGAATAACAGTTTTGTAATATTAAATACACAACACAACTTTTCTTCAATAGCTTCTTATTTTCTCTCGATTCGGAGAGATTGTGAATCAGTTTTCCTTCCTTCCTTACTTTTATTTGCGTTTCCAAATAAGAGAAAGTAACTTTTCTCATTTATTTTCTTCTTCCATTTTCTCTCCCTCCATATTTTCCGCTCTTCCAAACAAAGTATTTAGGTTTCAACATTATCTTCACGTAAAAGAGACGTTGTTGTCAAACAACGAGAGAAAGAGGGTCCATTAAATGAGAGAGGAGCTAAAAATGGGTATTTGGGTTGAATGAGCGAAAGTCACATTTTCATATAACCCCAAATTGACTAGTTATAACTATAACTGTAGTGGTCCATGGATCCTTTTTTGGTTTTTTTATTTACTTTTGAAAACATAATTTAAATTTGAGGTACAATTATAATAAAACTTAGTAATTTAAATGTCTGAACGGTTAAATTCAATTCGATTTGATTATAATTATAATAAAATGTAAAATTAAAGATATTTTAAATATTTTATTTTATTTTTTGAAAATATTATTAATTTTATTTATTGAGAAAGTATACACCCATCATTCTAGTTCTAGCATATTGGTACGGTGACTAGTACCAGACTATCGCCTACATGATAAAAGTAAATGCATGCTTCCATTTCTACCACATATTGACATTAACTAATAATTTCAATATGAATAAAATTAAATTTATATTTTTTAAAGAGAATTAAATTTATATATTAGTTGGTAGTTTGTTTGGCAATAAAAAATTGTTATAATCAAAACACACATGCTAAGTTTTAGAAACCAAATCATAAATCAATACATGGTTGAAGTGATTTTTCACAATAAATTTGAAACAATTTATTCATTTAAAGAAAAGAAATTGAGGATAAATATCATGCATTTGAAATAAAATAAATGTTTAGATTTCACTTTGCTGGCAAATTAGGATTTAATTAATGCTACGGGTGAAAGGAATTAAAAAAAAGAAAAGTAAGGAAATTAAATATTATCTCTATTCCATAATACTCT